AGGTGTGATTGCCATCAAATGCCAAATGTACCATGTCTATGTAAACAATTGTAGTTCACAGTACGGCCTTCAACATGGAGCCTAGGCTCGCACAGCATAGTAAGCTATAATGGGCCTGAAAATGACCAGTGTGAAACAATGCAAACGAGATAAACTAATGGCCAAATTGATATACAAAACAATAAATGAAAAACAAATATGAAATAAAGTAATAAACGACAACCACTAACGTTACAGGCTCCTGACTAGGGACAGATATATACATAGAAAATATATGCAGCGAGATTCAAAAACGTATGTGCCCTATCCAAATTCTCCTGGGATAGCGGTGTATATGTCTGCAATGAGAAGACTTTATATATATAATACACTGGTAAACATATTGGCTAACAGTTCTTCTAGTCAGGGATTTGTTTTCGCTTAACTCTTAAACACACTGCTTTTGGTTATGGCTGCATATGTTACTTACTAAGTAAATTCCAGGTTTTTTTTGCATTTTGAGAAAGAAACATAAATTCCAGTATTTTTTTGCATATTTAGAAAGAAACGGATAAGTTCCAGACAAAACAAATAAAATTGATGTCTTCCATAGGTATTGCTTCTAATCTTTACACGAAAATTTCCGGACAAATTGACAGCATCATGAAAAAAATTCCAGTATATTTAATAAGTAGTATAATGCGTTTAAAAAATGGAATTCCAGAAAAATTTGGTTATGGTGAAAAATATTTCCATGGAAATTTTTTTTTACATCTTATGTCTTCCATAGGGGGGGACACATTATATCTGGAATAGCCCATTGTAGGACGTCTGTGACCACTTTCAAACAGATCATAAATCCCGGCTAATTATAGTTATTGATGTTGTTTAAAGCTGTACCAGAACACTGTAAGTTTTCGTTGATAAGCTCATCAAGTTATCACTCTCAATTGTCAAGTTTTCTGTCATATCAACAAATATTTTAGACGGTGCAATAAGAAAATGATATTTTTTTCAAATTTAAGTTCACAGGAGGGCACATACACATAACCAATATGGATGGTCCTTCACAATATACAATATTAGACAATATAGAGTCATATGGGTTATTAATCGTAAAAGACAAATATATATAAGACTTGCTACTCCAGAGATCTGTGCCAAATGGTATAAATGTTTAGCAACGTGGTAAATAAATTCTAATCTAATCCATTAAGTTCAGTTTTAGATTTTTTTTACCCCAAACCCCCCAACCCCCTAAAAAAAGAAAAGCTGACTCTTATAACTAGAAGCCTCAATAATGTAATTACTTAACAGGCTCGAAGAAGTTGCCATTTTATACTAGTATATACTGACAAATATCTAAATGTTATAACAGAATCAATTGTCAGTGCTAATAATTACTTGTATTCCACTACAACTTAATTCTTATAGGAGTGCAATAAGATATACTAATGGCAATATGTGTCTTACTTGTTATTTCGAAATGTCTGTAATAAAACTTTAACACGACAGGTTCGTATTTTTTTTAAATTTCTTTTCACGAAAAATGTTCAGAAGTGTGTTGCTTTTCATAATTTGCGGTTTTAAAACAAAACAAAATCGGATCCTGTATAAAGACGAAGCCTGGTCTTGGTGTGGTAGACAACTTTTTCAAAACTGGGTCATTACTTTTGGACACGACTCATACTTTGGATTCCAGCCATAGAAAAACAAGAATTGAAAACATGACTAATCTTCCAATTGCCATGTGTCTTTTGTGTTTTCGTGTCTTTCTCTCCGTACAATGTGCACAATTTAACGAGAAATTTAACAAATCAGAGATAAGGTTCAGTTTATCTATTAGTATGCGCGCATTTTTACTTACTTCTCCGTTAATAAAAAACGGTTGTAGAAATTATTACATATCACAATAGAAAATAGTAATATATGTATCTGCATTCAACAATTTCATACAAATAAGAAATTATGAACAAAAATTCTACCTTTTCTCTGTCTGTAAGTGGTCCGTCATCGTCCTGGATATTATATACTATAATGAATTTTGAAATCGAATGTTGAAAAAAAAATTTGAATGTTGAATGTTGAAATCGAATGTTGAATGTTGAAAACGAATGATGAATGCTAAAAACGAATGTTGAATGTTGAAATCAAATGTTGAAAACGAATGTTGAATGTTGAAAGCGAATGTTAATTGTTGAAAACGAATGTTAAATGTTGAAAACGAATGTTGAATGTTGAAAAACGAATGTTGGATGTTGAAAATGAATGTTGAATGTTGAATGTTGAAATCAAATGTTGAAAAACGAATGATGAATGTTGAAAAGAATGTTAAATGTTGAAAACGAATGTTGAATGTTGAAAACGAATGTTAAAAAATGAATGTTGAAATCGAGTGGTGAAAAAAACATTCAAAAATATTGAAAAAAAAAATTGGAAAAATCGTTTTTGAATGTTGAATTTTGAAATCGAATGTTGGATGTTGAAAACGAATGTTGAATATTGAAAACAAATGTTGAATGTTTAATGTTGAATGTTGAAACCAAATATTAAAAAAAATTGAAAAAAAGAAAAAAAAAAAAAATTGAAAACAAATTTTGAATGTTGAATGTTGAAAACGAATGTTAAATGTTTAAAAAACGAATGTCGAATGTTGAATGTTGAAATCGATTGTTGAATGTTGAGATCGAAAGCTAAAAAAAAAAAATAAAAAAAAAAATTTAAATTAAATGTTGAATGTTAAAATCGAATGCTGAATGTTGAAAACGAATGTTGAATGTTGAAAACGAATGTTGAATGTCGAAAACGAATGTTGAAAAACGAATGTTGAATGTTGAAACGAATGTTAAATGTTGAAAACGAATGTTGAATGTTGGAAACGAATGTTTAATGTTGAAAACGAACGTTTAAGAAATATTGAAAAAAAAAAAATTATTTTTGAATGTTGAATGTTGAAATCGAATGTTGGATGTTGAAAACGAATGTTGAATGCTGAAAACAAATGTTGAATGTTGAAATCAAGTGTTGAAAACGAAAGTTGAATGTTGAAAGCGAATGCCGAATGTTGAAATCGAATTGTGAATATTAAAATCGGATGTTGAAAAAAAAAAAAAAAATGAAAAAGATTTTTTTTTTTTTTTAATTTTGAATTTTAAATGTTGAAATCGAATGTTGAAAAACGAATGTTGAATGTTGAAAACGAATGTTAAAATACGAATGTTGAATGTTGAAATCGAGCGGTGAAAAAAAATCAAAAATATTGAGTTGAATGTTGAAAAACGAATGTTGAATGTTGAAAACGAATGTTGAATATTAAAACCATATGTTGAAAAAAAAATGGGAAAAATCGTTTTTGAAAGTTGAATGTTGAAATCGAATGTTGGATGTTGAAAACGAATGTTGAATATTGAAAACAAATGTTGAATGTTGAAAAACGAATGTTGAATGTTTAAAACGAATGTTGAATGTTGAAAACGAATGTTGAATATTAAAACCAAATGTTGAAAAAAAAATGGAAAAAAAGGGGGGGGGGGGAAATGAACAAAGTTTTTGAATGATGAATGTTGAGATCGAATGAGGAATTTTGAAAACGAATGTTGAATGTTGAAAACGAATGTTGAATGTTAAAAACGAATGTTGAATGTTGAAAAACGAATGTTGAATGTTGAAAAATGAATGTTGAATGTTGAAATCGAAAGTTGAATGTTGAAAACGAATGTTGAATGCTGAAAACGAATGTTGAATGTTAAAAACGAATTAAAAAAAAATTGAATGTTGAATGTTGAATATTAAACCTTTTTTTTATTTGAGCGTCACTGACGAGTCTTTTGTAGACGCGACGCACGTCTGGCGTACATGACTTTAATCTTGGTATCTATAATGAGTTTATATTCAAATCTATAAAAAGCCTAATATTGGTGTTTATATCAGAATTAGTCAAAGTAATGTCCTTAACAGTTTTCATTAAGCCTTTTCTCAGGTTCTTTATAATCTGCATGGAGTTTTTTCTGGTTCCTTTTACAGTCTTATGAAGCCTCTTTTCTGGTTCCCTTACAGTCTACTTTGAACCTGTTGTCTAGTTCCTTTACACTGTTCACAGAACTTCTTCTCTTGTTCCTCAAGTCTTTGTAGAGCCTGGCCTCTTGAATCTTCAAGTATTCGTGAAGCCTACTCTTTATTTCTTTTTATAGTCTTCGCATAACTTTTGCTCCAGTTCTTTTACCTTTCTGATTCCTCAGTGTTCACAGATCCTCTTCTGTTAAATCTTTAAGCTTTTCTTGGTTCCTCTTCTTGAGGAATAATGTGTATTCTTAATAAATAACTTTTACAGAACACAGAGAATCCATTCATACTCCTATATAGCTTTACTTTGAAGAGGTTATCGGTCAAGAATGATTAAACAAGACAAATGTCCATCTTGGTTAACAGTAGATCTTGCTTCAGTATCATGTAATTGTTTTTCAGTTTGATATCTAAAGTTGTTTTCCATGCAGCTTGTTTTTACAGTTTGATATGTAAAGGTTTTTAAACTACTAAATTTGGTGACGACAAACATTTTCTCTAGACAGTGAACATATGATATCAAACAATTACGTTCTATTTCCAAGACATTTGTCAATTTAATATACTGTTTTTTTTAATGGTGGGGTTTGTTGTATCATACTCTAATACCAAAGTACAATGTAAAAATAGCCGCATTTGTATTTGTAACATGAGAAATAATTGTCCATCTTTTAAAAAAACTTTTAATCTGATGTCAATTCTAAATAGAGCGGATGTTAAAATGCGCTAAAGGGAATATTTGTAACGAAAAAATCTATATCAAAACCCGATTTGTATTGAAATCTGTTAATGATGAGGATTTAAACCTTTAAACGATCAAAGATACTTTGTCATTTATTGGATTGGATGAGACAGACTGGTCCATTTTTATATCGATAAGGAATAAAGCTTTCATGATTTGATATATATACAAAATTCAATAATATGACAAAAGAAGGATTACGCAAAGGACATTAAAACACTTAGTTTTATTTTTGTGGGGATTATTTTGTGCATTAGTATTTCCTTTCCTGAGAGTTTTTGCGTTTTGCAATATTACAGGAAGACTGTCTAATGGAATGTCAGATAAAATTGTCTTTTTATGTTTTATTACATTCAGGTAGGTACAGTTTATTAATGAATTAAGGCGTTTATATGCCAATATGTATGGGTACAAACAAAAAAGACCAAGAGGAGAAGGTAAATATACATACGTTTATATGTCAATGTGTATACAAACAAAAATACCAAGAGGAGAAGATAAATATACATACGTTTATATGTCAATGTGTATACAAACAAAAATACCAAGAGGAGAAGGTAAATATACATACGTTTATATGTCAATGTGTATACAAACAAAAAAGACCAAGAGGAGAAGGAAAATATACATACGTTTATATGTCAATGTGTATACAAACAAAAATACCAAGAGGAGAAGGAAAATATTCTCAGGTTGTTCTGATTAATTGAACATTGTTTGTTTAACGTCCAGTTGCAAATATTTCAAATTCAAGACAAAACAAGTCATTATAAGACATTCAGTAATTAGAAGATACCAAAAATGTAAGTTATAAAAACACACAGGAAACAAAAACAAAATCAAGAGACAACCTTCGCAACGGTTTCGAATATTAATCAATTCACTAAAGTATGAAATACCGCCGTCACGTGGTGACCCCCTTTGGATCCGTATGGGGTCAGTAGATTTCATATGGGGTTCATGACGTCGCGTTAACAGTAAATGGTGACGTCATCGATTAATGTTATTGTATTCCATTGCTTAGTTTTATACATACGATGCCTTCAATCGGCAATCCTTGGGTGAATCCGCTACTCTCCTTCTATCAACAAAACAAGTGGGTCATCTGTGTTTTTATCGGAAATGTGTTTGTCCGGTAAATCCGCCCATGCGCAGTTAATATGTATGGAGGGCCAGTTTATCACAAATTTATGAAAGGAAAAGGTGATCTATTTATTAATAGACCACTTATAAAGAGATTCCAGATAATCCAAAAAAAAAATTTCAAGTCAGAAATGAGTTTTGTAAGCAATAATATGATTATCGTTAGCTTTAGGAACTGTATTATACATGTAGGACTCAAATCTATGGCGGGTTCCAAATCTATGGCGGGTTCCAAATCTATGGCAGATTTCAAATCTATGGCAAATATGACGTTACAAACGCCAAACAAATCAAATCTATGGCAGTTTTTGGTTTTCTCCAAATCTATGGCAGATCTTGAAATTGCGTAATTTTGCGGGAAAAAGAGTAACATATAACGTCGCAATTAAATAACGCCACATTACGTCGTCGCTGCTGCTAGCGATCACATCGATTATTTTATTTTTTTTAAATGTAAACCAAAAACAGATATTTAACACGGGACTCACAAATTTTTACAAACAAATACACAGTGCAACACTTTCCGCTTTCCCTCTAGAACAATTTGCCGATGGTTTAAAGGAAGATGTGACCTTTTATCCAGAGGAGGGACAATATGTGCTATACCGTCCGAATCCCGCGATGAAGAAAGGCACCGCTGTTTCAGTAGTGGATATCTTAGGAAAGGAGTTATAGTAAATATGTTAGCGTCTACGGCTGGCAAAGTACTAGTATATAAAGTGAGAGATGAAATTACAGGATACCACTTTGACTTTAATAAATCGTCATCAGTTAAAAAAGATTGATTAACGCTCAAATAAATATAATGTGAAAAGTCAAACTTAAAATAAAAAACTGCTTTCTTGTTTGTTAAAGGGACTTCCATTTTTGCTAGTTGGTTTAATGAATGGGTTTAACAGGTACCATGCACATATTAGAAAATACACCATTTCAATCCCGAAGTCTGTATTATGGTATATCACTGCTACACTTAGGACATTTTATGGTTGCCATCACGATTCGGTTGAACATTATGGAATGTTTATTTCACAAATGTTTATAGGCAGACATGCTCACGTTGTCGTACATTTCGACTTGTTTAAGACATGTCATTGATCGTATATTTTCTGCCTTGTTCTCCATTTGCACAAAAATCTGCCATAGATTTGAAAACAACAAAAATCCGCCATAGATTAGGAAATAACAAAACTTTCCATAGATTAGGATTTTAAAATATCTGCCATAGATTTGGAATGGCATGACGTCATATTTACCATTGATTCGGAATCTGCCATAGATCTGGAACCCACCATAGATTTGAGTTCTACATATATTTCACTAGATATTTTCGTAATAAAGGATTTTTATTTAAAAATTTGACATGCAGTGATGATAAGTACAGTTCCTATGTATAAAATAGCAGACGACATATTCACGGAAGCGACAATTACGGAAGCAATGGGAGTGGGGGGAATTACCGGACACTACTGTAACTGTAATGGAATAGAAGTTCCTTCATAATATGAGTTTCAAATGGAAGAAATGTTCTGGAATATTACTCCATTGGAAGAAAAATTACAGTTTTGCTCCTTACGGAATAACGGATACTAGTATATTCTAATATTTGCTGAGAATATTTGTTCCAATAGAACATTATATTGTAGCAATGGTTATAACAAAGTGTTCAGATGAACTTCTGTTAGAATACACGTTGACATAACAATACAGTTGTTAGTTCTTATGCAGCAGTAACTTATTTGACTCACAGCTAGGTCTTAATTGTTATCCCCGCCTCTACTTCGCCAAAGATTCAGTATAAAGGTATTGGCATGATTATAAGTGATCATTAGTTATGCACATTTAACATGTTTGATTTAAACAGTGTTGTTTTGGTTTCAGAACTTGGATATTTTTCTGGTCTATAGTCAGATTTGATGTTAAAATGCCTTTTTCAAAACAATGAAACCATTTTATAGATTAGTATTGGAGAGAATCATTTGATTCTGAAGGGGGAGTCTGGCAGACTTTGGAAGGGTGCTAGATAACAGATAGTTAAAAAATATTATGCCCATGGTTGTAGTGACGTTTTGGATTTCAATGAGAGTAATCTATGTATTACAGGTAAATTATTAACAGGCATGGGGTAATCATAATCGGTAATCGTGATCAGCTGTAATCACATGTAAGCAGTAATCATGCAATGTCTGATTACAAGTAATCGTAATTTAATCGATTACAACGTAAAAATCAGGTGTAATCAGGGTTAAGTTAGATTATTTTAAGATTACATTCACATGATTACTTGCTAATAACAAATTTTTTTATATGAAAATAGTTTTTGATAAACAATATAAAAATAAGAAGATGTTAAGTATGAATGAAAAAAAATATCAAACTAGTATTCACTATGATTGATCATATCTTCTATATAACAAGTTTAGTATAACCAAGTTGGGCATGTAGAGTGGAAATGTGTGATTTATTTTGTAAACAGTTCACTAAAGGAATTTACCTTTCCAAATGTTTCATTGTGAGATTGAGTCCTTGTGATAAAAGAATATGCTTTGAAAGCATTTTATGTTCCCTGATGGAATACTTCTGATATTAACCCCAATTTTAGTTTACACAATATTGTGTTAAAACTTAAAAAAAAAAACAAAAACAAAATCAATAGCATAGAACATTAAGGGAATTTAGTTTCAATTTTGACGTTGATGATCAACATAAATGAGCCCACTTAATTAATAATGGACATTTTTTTTTTTACAATTTGTATAAATTTTGTTTTCCATAAATAATTTAATATGTGCATTCTCCAAATACTAAGTAGTTATTTCAAACAATTATATACATTATGAAAATAAACTACTTATAACTTTATTGATATTGCAATTAAGACAATTAATTTTTAATACCTCACCTATTGTTTGTCAAACATATTGAAGTAGAATCATATGTATGTGTCAATCATATCCCCAAAGACAATAAAACTACTTAATTAATTTTTCATTATTCATTATTTGTTAAGTTGTTTTTTTTTTTTGTTAATTAGAAATTTGCAGTTGGCTAAAATTTTTGTAAAAACAGTGTTATTTCTTTTACAGAGAAAGGGCACTTGTCTATGTTATCAAAATTTACACAGTTCCTAGTCTAAATTATTAATAAGACGAATAAATAAAAGATGTAAAAAGACACAAATTTTCACAAAAATTAGCTTTTGTTGTGAAGATAAAAAGTTTATAAGAAATTCTTTAATATTGCAATATACAATGTAAGCATAAGTAATCCAAAGTAATCATGATTACTTTTAAGAAAAGTAACCTAATGTAACTGATTACAATTGAATTAAGCTGTAATTATAAGTAATAAGTAGCAATGTAATTGTAATTTAATCGATTACATTTTAAAGTAATCAACCCCATCCCTGATTATTAAGGCATGTATTTTGTTACCACAAATTACTTAAAACCTTTACTAAATTCTTTCATAGATACAAAGATTTGGTTTGCAAGTTTGGCTATATAACTGTAGAAAACTGCCTCATTTTAACAGTGATGTTGTTTACCGAGCCCGGAAATTTAGATACGATTCGGAACTAATTAATCCTTAAAATTAACTTATTCTAAAAGGTTACCAATTCAAGACTGTAATTAGATCTTTGAATATTGTTTTATTAATATAAATATTGATTTTGTTTTCAGTAAATTAAAACTAAACTAATAAATATCATTGTTATATACATATATAGATATAAGAAGATGTGGTATGAGTGCCAATGAGACAACTCTCCATCCAAGTCACAATTTGTAAAAGTAAACCTTTATAGGTCAAAGTACGGCATTCGACACGGAGCCTTGGCTCACACCGAACAGCAAGCTATAAAAGACCCCAAAAATGACTAGTGTAAAACCATTCAAACAGGAAAACCAACGGTCTAATCTATATAAAAAACGAGAAACGAGAAACACTTATGAACCACGTCAACAAACGACAACCACTGAACATCAGGTTCCTGACTTATGACAGGTGCAAACAAATGCAGCGGTTTTAAACGTTTTAATAGGCGCCAACCTTCACCCTAACCTGAAACAACAGTGTAACATCACAACATAGAAAGAAACACTATAAAATATCAATTGAAATGGCTCAACTCAATCAAAAGACATATTAACAAAAACAAGTGAACATACACTGAACGAATAAATTTGATCTATGACACAATGTAAATACAAAATTAATAAAACACGGGGGTTAGATGTAAAACAATATCAGAAAGACAACCATTACCTTGGACAAAATGCCGCCAAATAAAATAACGTACACAGGTAAATAAAATTATTTTGTATGCACATTCACGGTTCTACAATCTGTTGGGACCTGTAATTTGACAATGCATAAGGTCATGTCTTCTCTGACTGTTAATGACGTCTTTACACTAAATCCATTGGATGATGGATGTTTACTGAGTTTCTTAGATTCATGATTTTTTTTTATTGGCTTTGAAGTAGCTGTCACTAACTGCGAGTACTCTCAGATCTGTACTTAGTGTCTTATTTGTTGTGGGGCTGTATAGATATACAATATATGTACATTGTCGGAAAATATAAAATTTATTTGTATGAGCTTTAGAAACAAGACGAAAAGCGAGGCTCGCCGAGCTTTTCTCTTGTTTCGTAGCGAGTACAAATACATTTTATACTGTTAAACTGTTTAGGTATTAGGGGTCAAAAAGGGGCCAAAAAAGGCGTTTTCTAGTTTCCGGACAATAACTTGTGTATAAGTGTATGGATCTCTATGAAATTGTACCACAAGGTTCCATACCACAAAGGAAAGGTTGGGATTGACTTTGGGGGTTATGGCCCAAACCGTTCAGGAATTAGGGGCCCAAAAAAAGGGGGGGACAAGGTTTTTCTGGTTAATGGACAGTTACTTAAGTATTTGTCTATGGATCTCTATGAAATTGTACCACAAGGTTTCATACCACACACAGAAGGTTAGGGTCGATTTTGTGGGTTGTGGCTTTAATTGTTAAGAAACTAGAGGCCAAATAGGGGCCAAAACAAGACTTTTCTAATACTGGGTGAGCTGGTTCTAACATAAATTATTTCTGATCTATATAAAGAAACAACAAATACTGATATGGCATGAGATACACACCAAACAGGGCGTGTAAATTGTTATACTTAGTTTGTAAACTGATTTACCAAGTATTGCGCCACATCAAAGTTTTGCACATCAGAAAGAAATCTTCAATTGAAAATAAATACAAATCTTTTAACCAATTTCAATGAGGATTAATTTAAAGTCTTCAATTGTTTGAGGTTTTTACCATGTATTACTTAGCTATATTGGATATTTGGACATTTTTAAATAGGTCTACATTGAGGTCCAAAGGGTCCAAAATTAGACTTTGTCAGATTTCATCAAAAACTGAATTCTTGTAGTTCTATGATATGTTGAATCTAACTGTGCATTCGAATTTTCAATTTTGGGCCCTGTTTTCAAATTAGTCCATATTAAGGTCCACAGGGTCCAAAATTAAACTTTGTTTAAATTCATGTTTTTTGGTTTGTTTATATGCTGAATCTAACCATGGAATAAGATTTTGGATATTTGACCATTAAGTAGATTAAATGTCCCATTTCAAAATTTTAAGTTATCTGACCACATTTATTCTGTGTCAGAAATCTATAATGTGTCAAATATTTAATTTTGTGTCCATACTTGCCCCCAACTGTTCAGAATTCGACCTCTGCGGTCGTATCCAGCTGCTCCAGGCGGAGCGCATTTTTATAGTTTGTTACACCACTGTCCCAGGTTAGGGGAGAGTTCGGTGCCCGCAAACATGTTCAACCCTACCACATTCTGTATGTGCCTGTCCCAAGTCAGCAGTCTGTAGTTCATTGGTTGTCGTTGGTTCATGTCTGTCATATTTTTTTTTCTTGAATTGTTTTGTTATGAATTAGGCCGTTCGTTCTCTCAATTGAATTGTTTCATATTTTTCATGTCAGGGCCTTTTATAGCTGACTATACGGTATGGGTTTTTCTCATTGTTGAAGGCTCTAGAGTTGCCTTTAATTGCTGACAACCACTTCATTTGAACTGTGGTGAATAGTTGTCTCATTGGCAATCGTACCACATTTCCTTATTTTCATTGTCGCATGCATAAAATTTTCAATTTTTTTTTTTTTTAATTTTTTTTACATTATTAGTGTCAGTGGTTATTTTTGAGGGCATAGTGTATGTCCACCCTCCGTGTGACCAGAAAAAAAAGAAATTATGTTATGAAACACTCCAAAAAAAAAATTCACTCGCTACTCTCGCCAGAAATTTTATTACCATTTTGGACAATAACACCCCTCTTTCCTTGAGTGTAATTCTATTATATTTCATTTTAATAGAATATATATTCTAGACTTCATTTTGACTGCTCTTTTTGTTTGAAGTTTTATGTGTATCCTACAAAATAGGTGATCTGTATCACAAAAGTTAAATTACTTTAAGGAGTGAAAAGTTAATTTTGAGGAGGCGAGGAGGGGCCGTTTTTGTGTTAATTTGTGAACCTACCTATTCTATTAATTGTCAATGCATTCTTGTATTGAATATGCACGAGACATTTGCCACTGGACGTTAAAAAAGTAACAATCACTCAATTAAACTAATTTCTATATTTTTTGCTAGCCTCGTCTCTTTAGTCACACATGTAGGCTATTGACATCCCAGACCTAGATCTTACTCCCTTAGGAGATAACTTGCTTTGAATAAACGACAATACGACAAATATTTTTTCCAATTATGTTTATGACGTAAAATAAGCAGATGTGGTATGATTGCCATTGAGAAAACCATCCAAAAGAATGTAAATGAAATTTATTAAAGCAACTATAGGTTACCGTACGGGCTTCAACAATGAACAAAACCCATACCATATAGTCAGCTATTAACGACTCCGACATGACAATATGAAACAATTGAAAAATAGCAACGGCCTAATTTATGACAAACCAATAAACGAAAGACAAATATGACAGAAAGTAAACAACGACAACCACTGAATTACAGGCTCCTGACTTGGGACAGGCATATACAGACAGTAAACAACGACAACCACTGAATTACAGGCTCGGAACAGGCACATACAGACAGCAAACAACGACAACCACTGAATTACAGGCTCCTGACTAGGGCCAGGCACATACAGACAGTAAACAACGACAACCACTGAATTACAGGCTCCTGACTAGGGACAGGCACATACAGACAGTAAACAACGACAACCACTGAATTACAGGCTCCTGCACATGTCATGAATTTGTTGTTGTCATTGTTTTTTATATCTAGTGTCTTCAGAGAACAGCTTTTTGTTTTGATGCAATGAAAATGTAGGAAGATGCATCCTTTTCTACCTAAAAGGTTGGAAGTTATTCCCTTCTTCTTTTTTTTTTAATCTAACTGTAATATTTTTAAACTATTATTTTTTTTAACGATCAGTGATATAGACGCTTTAAAAATGACTTTCTGTTAGCTCAATATTGTTTTCTTTTCAAGCACTGCTATCTAAAACAAGTCAACAAATTGAAGTCATAAATATAACAGGTAAGAACTAATAGTAATTACAATGCTGGTCTAAAGTTGAAATGCATGATGAAAAACAACTAATACTTTCTTAAACATTGACGATGATAAACAATATACTAGTACATAGAATTAAAAAATATATATACCAAGAAATAAAGCCTTGGCGATATCACCTCCCATAAAGAACCATGCGCACGCGTTATCTTTAGTGCCAATTTCGGTTGTTGATACATTCTAGCCAGCTCTATCTGTACCTCAGTGAAAGTAATGGATATTTGCCAACACTTGTTGCGCAGAGCTCCTTGGCGAAGAGGCAGCCATGGTCATTAGCACTATACATCATCTACAATTCATCCTGTTTCTGTAAATAATCATCTACCATTTTGTAATAAACAGAATCTGTGGGGCATTCGTCACATTCACATAGAATTATATTCACTTCTTCATACATAGCTGATGAAAAGTCTACGCTAATATAATTGAACATCACGAACCCCAATTCTAATCATAACATGAAGGGGGTACCGAGTGAGCAATCTGATAACCCAGACGATTGCTAAAACGTGAAAAATTAACGGAAAATGGAATCCAAGAAATACATTCTTTAATTTCAACGATTTCCTTTGTTTTAACTTAATAAACTTATTAATAAAGGTGATTGTTAGTTTGTTGTGACAAATTTCAGAACGTTTTTCACCGATTTTATGTGCTTTCTTTACAAATGTTCACCAATTTTGAAAGAATTCAATCAGTAATATTTCAGAAAATAAAAGAGATATATGCCTTTTTTTCTCGATTTTCAGTTATAGTTCAACAAGACAAAGTTGTATGTAAAATTTTACCAAAATCTGCATGTGACATAGCCCCTTCACTGCTCCTCGACCTTAAGTAAAACAAAATGTACTCGAAAACAATGATCCCTATATTAATTTTTAAATAACATTTGATCAACATTTAATTTGTAACTTTAAACTCATTGTTTTTAAGTGGTTTATTCTATAGCTTATATTTCACACTTTTATTAAAAAAACTAGAAACAAATAATCATAATATAAATTTTAGAACACCAGCTTGACATCAAATACGTTTTGTGGACGTTGTGACAAAACGGCTATACTTTTTGATACGATCTGAAAATCTCGTTTCCTAACAGAAAATGTTCTAAACTATTTTGTTTAAGATAGAAAAGCGTATGTACTTTTAGTACCGTTTTTATTTTATATGATCAAATCCTACTTATTTGATATATAGCCCGTCGAAATATAAATTGAAACTATTTTACCGTTTCTTTCCGTTGTGACAAGATGGTTATACTTTTTGAAGTCATTGTGGTAGTGATGATACTCATGTTTCCGGCAAAAGAACATCACGAACGAGAAATAAAGTAAATGTGCTTTATTTACTATAAATATTATTCCTCTCAGCGTTTCTGATACAAATGCATTAACCCGATGTATGCTTACTTTGCATATACTTTTTCTCAGACCGTTTTCAAACAAGCCATTTTCCGGTTAACAATTTCATTGATGTGGATTTTGCTTTAACATGCCAATAACTATAACAAAAGCAAAAACCTTAGAGAGTCTTACGATGATCGGAAAACAATACAATATACAGACGTAAAATTCTGATCTTTTGTGAACAGAATGAAACGTTGGACATGACGTTCCTGCGTGAAAATTGTGGTAATCAAGTGTTATAATTTTTGGTGTTTTAAATTTGAATTCTTATTTTTTCTCTATTTTAAGCCTATTTATATGCTCAATCTCCCCCTATTTTAAACGAGCTGACCAGTCTACGCATTGCTTTTATCGAGCAGACCAGTCTACGCATTGCTTTTATCGAGCTGACCAGTCTACGCATTGCTTTTGATGATAATCTGTAGCAAAATCAAATTTGTACCAGCATCGATATCGTGCGCAACGTACACTAATGTAAGTACGACCCGCACAGTTTTCCATTTTAAATCAGTAGCGTATTACAAAGTTAGTTTTACCTGACACCTTATTTTAGTATTTTTTTTAGTATTGAATGGTCTACCGTACACTCTGTGTGTTCATAAAGTTCATCGTTTAAAATGTTTGTATCAATTGAAATCAATTTTGTACTTGTATTTGAAAACATTAAAGAATCTTTATAAAAGCAATTTCCTTTACTAGGTATATATAACAAATAATAGGATATTGATTTTGCATTAAAAACTTCCGTTGTTATGAAAGAGTATTTAATTACTGTTAGTTATGAACAAAGGGATGTGTTGAGTTAACGTCATAAAGACATGAAATCCAGATGTGGATACAGAATTTCAAAAGGAGAAAGGAGGGAAAAAGGGAGGGGTGTAAGCTAGCCACCGTTAAGAGTGGAACATTTCAAAACTCTTTACATTAACCATATAGGACAGGATGCGATCTGAAATATGGATCTTAGGTCATATGTCATCTTTAACGACAAACGAGCACCCATCGCATTCAAGTTCTTAGACTAGTGGTGATTTAGCTCCTCAGAGGCGATAGAAAACAACACTTTTCTAAACAAAATCTTAAAATGTCCATTTCTATATTGCAACATTCCAGAATCGCCTTCATACGCAGTATATATCTCCCAGTTGATCCGATATTCCAGGACTTGTATTTCCTATTTAGTATTATGATTTCCTTGATAGAGTGTTGCTGCTCACAAGGAAGCTATTAAACCAAAAGTTCCAGGTGGTGAAGTTGAAATTATTCCTTCGTAAATTCTAAGAACGCCATCACATCACGAGTTGGTTGACGTTATGGAATATCTGTTTCACAGATGACAACGGATATGTTCCAATTGTTGTAATTACAATCCCGTCCCCTTTTCCCGCAATATGTGACCTACCGAATTCGACTTGGTTTGTACTAACATGAGCAACATGACGGGTGCCACATGTGGAGCAGGATCTGCTTACCCTTCAGGAGCACCTGAGAGCACCCCCAGTTTTTTGGTTGGGTTCGTGTTGCTCAGTCTTTAGTTTTCTATGTTGTATTTTGTGTACTGTTGTTTGTTTGTTTGTTTGTCTTTTTTTCTTTTTATCAATGCGTCGTCAGTTTATTTTCGACCTGTGAGTTTGAATGTCCCTTTGGTATCATTCGCCTCTCTTTTGAAATAACAGTAGCAATGTTGCCGAAGAAATTCCGGATTTGTAAAGGCACTTACACACATGGTAGCTTAAAACTTTCGGAATTGCTTAACCCGCCACTTTCAACCGCAATCAACAAGAAAAGTAATAAAACTTGAATTGGTATTTCAGATGCTACAGAATATACGGAACGCATGTCTATATCCTCACATCTGTATTAGTATAAGGAACGCAAGTCTATATCCTCACATCTATATTAGTATAGAAATCAAAGTAAAATATGTTCTTTGTGCATTTCTGGATCAACAGTTATCCCTAAAGATCAAAATTCTGAGGCAGTGGAGGTATAAAAGGTTTTAAAATTAGCAAAGATACTGAAATAATATGTTTTGGTTCCTTAAAATTTTTGCAATATTCCATATAATTAAAAACATTTCCAAGGGACATAAATCTTTTAAAACAGTTGATAGGCACTGATTAATGAACATGTCAGGAGACATTGCTGATATCAAGTTTTGCTGTAATTTTCATACATATCTGACAAGAATTGTACACGTGAGGACGCTTACAATGCACTTTTCTTTAGAAATTACATTTCTAAGTATTACATTTCTAAGTGACATACCTCTTGAAAAAAATTTGACAAGCACTGATTTTTTTAACTTGTCCCATACATTGCTGACAAAAAATGTATTCTTGAGAGCGCTTACAATGGAGTTTTCCAAGGAGCATAACTTAAAAAAAAATAGTTGATCGGAACTGATTTTCGAAATTGTCCTAGATATTACTGAAATAAACATTTGATATAAAATACGATTTTTAATTCTGGCAAGAATTTTACATCTGGGAGCGCTTACAAGACCGGTCGGACGGATGTCCGGTATTTATTTGTCCCCCTGTAATGCGTCGCGAGGGGGGACAATAATCATGGTAAAAGAACATAAATAAATGTTAAAGAGTCACATCTTCAAAAGATAAATACCCCTTGTTAAAATTTTCTCATAGTATTATGTTTGGTGTTCCTTCGTGAGCATCTACTGGCACCTTATTAACCATCTTAATTAAGGTATCCCATAAAACATCTACCGGTACCTCATTAACCATCTATGTGTATCTCATTCTCCATTTAAATGTTCCTCATTAACTAACTACATATACCTTATTAACAATCTAGATGTACCTCATTAACTACCTACATGTACCCCATTAACTATCTACAGGTACCCTATTAACTATTTACATGTACCCAATTAACTATCTACATGTACCCCATTTACCACCAACATGAACCTCATTAATTATCTACATGTATCCCATTAACCATCTAAATGTACCTCATTAACTATCTACATGTACTTCATTAACTATCTAAATGTACCTCATTAACCATCAACATGTACCCCATTAACCATCAACATGTACCCCATTTACCATCTAAATGTACCCCATTAACCATCTAAATGTACCTCATTAGCCATCAACATTTACCTCATTAACCATCAACATGTACCCCATTAACCATCTAAATGTACCTCATTAAGCATCAACATGTACCCCATTAACCATCAACATGTACCCCATCAACATGTACCCCATTAACTATCTACATGTACCCCATTAACCATCAACATGTACCCCATTAACCAGCTAAATGTACCCCATTAACCATCAACATGTACCTCATTAACCATCTCAATGTACCCCATTAACCATCAACATGTACCTCATTAACCATCAACATGTACCCAATTAACCATCTAAATGTACCCCATTAACCATCTAAATGTACCTCATTAACCATCAACATGTACCCCATTAACCATCTAAATGTACCCCATTAACCATCTAAATGTACCTCATTAACCATCTAAATGTACCTCATTAACCATCAACAAGTACACCATTAACTATCTAC